GGTTCTTTTCTTAGTGACTTTTAACTTTGATGTTGTTAAATACGGCCACACTCTGAAGACTCTCAGTACTGGTGAATCTGTTTTCCTGGAATATCTTGTGTTGTTTTCAGAATTGCATGATTGTGTGACATCTGCTCCACATCTCATACGTGATCAACTGAGTAGGTACAACTGTGGCAGATGGCTGATGACTCACCTCACAACACTGAACACTGGTTTGCTTTCTGGGAAGCAACATCTTCATATTAATTTTCTAAAAGTCTTGCAAAGATGTGACTGGTCTGCCTGGTTTGATAGCAGGTAATGTAAGTTACAGGAAATGCACAGGGATGCAACAGCAACATTTATTCTAGGACTGGGGTAGTATTTTAAAATTCAATTTTTGCACTACTATCAGATAAATCCACAAAAGGAAATTAGGTTCACTGCTGTACTTTCTAAGTTTTAGGCATCTAAATAGCAAAATCTGGATCCTTGAATCAGATGGACATCTAGGCTTCCTATGCACAGGAGATAGAGAATAATATCCACAGAACCATTCACTTGAGTGAGGAATCAGGAAACACCAGAGAAAAGGATATACCTTAAACCCTGTTCTCTCTGTGATTTGGCTGCCCTGTTCCAGGCTGGGGGGAATACCACGAAGATTCACAGATCAAAGACCTGGGTAGAAGGACATTCCCAGCTCTCCCAACATCCCATGGAAGATAACATATGCACCTGCTACACCAGAGACCTTTGTTTTGTTCCCTCCTCTGCTGACTGTCAGATTGAAACAGGCACAGCGCAGTTAGCATGTGTAGCTTGAGTAGGCTAAGTTCTGATCAGTTGTAGGAAAACTATGGCAAGAAGCCACAAGTTCACTCATAATGACATTACCTCGCAAAATTACCTTTGTTCATTACTAAAGTTAAAGAACCTCGGTAACTGTTTGTTATCCCCTCTCATTCTTACAGACTCCTTGGCATGGCAGAACAAGATGACTGGAGGGAACTTTAAAGAGCTATTCCTAAACCACTTAATTTACAGCTCTATATACCAAGGCATCACATGCATATATTAATTTAAAGCTAAATATTGTTATATACATTGCAATAGCTTAAGTCAATAAACATCAGCTTGTTTGTATGCACGATTTCCATACTAAAAATGTAATTAGTGTTGTAACAACCGTATCCGTATCCAAATCCTTTAGGATCAAAAAAATCATGCTAACATCACAAGCATCACGTCAAAACGTGACCACCCAGCTTAAACATGCTTCAGTCCGAAAGACTAACACATCAAAATGCTTTAGTGGCCTGTTAACTATTTTTTTTTAAAAAAAACTTTCTGTAGCAGAGACGTGTCATTCCCATTTCCACTACCCTTATGTCAACTAACAAAAGTTCCTGATGAGCCAAGTCTCTTGGAGGCTCAACTGCTAACGCCATTAACGTTACCAAAGACCTGTGCATGACTAACAGCTGTGTCCTAAGGAAACTGAACTCATACCTTCCATTTCCACATAAACTGCCCTAAAGTTAAAGAGTATCCCAGAAAGAAAAGAAGGGGGGAGACGATGGGTAGAGAGGAAAGAAGGAAGATGTTGTCATTGCTGATTCTCATTCATCCCGTATGGAACATACATTAATCAGGTCTGACAGAGAAAGCCAGCAAGGGTGAGGAGGACTATAATCCAGTAGTTACAGACACATATTAATTAGATTAAGGTCTTGAACGTAGTTATCTTTCAAAGGTGAATGCCATGTCCAATCCCTGCTCACTGCAGGGGGGTTGGGCTCGATGATCTCTCAAGGTCCCTTCCAACCCAAAGCATTCTATGACTCTATGATTCTATGATTCTATGATCTCATGTCTACAAGAATTTGGAGTCATGTTCGCCATCCCTCTAGCCCAAAGTAAACTCCATTAAAAAATAATGGAGGTGCTTCAGCAGAAAAGATTTAAAATACCTCTGTCCAGAATAACCTAGAACTCAGTAGCCAGAGCTATAGCCACAGAAACGGACTACAGCATTCATGCTCCTGGCGACAGGGAGGGGAAGTGAGCATGTCTGCCTTACCTCCTGGGTAAGTATTCCCACTACCAGGCAATACCTCTAAATGAAACTGCCTCTCTTCTACAATTTTATGGGCACCTCTGGATATGTTTCTAAAATACCCTCTGGGGTGAATCCTGCTGCAGGGCTTTAGACATTAGAAAGGCATCGCTCAGCAGCATTAAGACAAAAGCTTTAGTTGTGTTCAAATGATGGATATGGTTAGTTTCTCTGAATTGCTACAGTCTGATTAGTATCTGCTAAACATAAAGGAAATTCTTCAAATGGTACTGGTGTCACTTATATTCCTTGACAGTTGGTAACTAAAAACCCCAGCATGCGCCAAACCAGCAAAAGCTGAGTCTCCCTCCCTGAAGTGCTATGTAATGATGTTAGTTAATTCACACAGAGAATATCTTTTGGGGCTGATACTTCTCTAATAGCAATTTTATGTCATTCAAGTTCCACTAACAACTGTTGAGTTTACACCATGGTGCCAAAGAGGTATATTAGATTCTTCAACTTCAAGCTATCCAGAGCTTACTCGGCTCATTTGGCACCTCTGTGTTGCTAATACACGCAGAACTTTAACAGATGGTCTTACAATACTGGCAGTTGTTTTGTACTGTGCTAGTAGTGGTAAGGGGAAGTACTCTACACAGATTGTCTGCAATTCTGGAAAATAAATGAAGTACAAATCCATATTAACCTCAAAAGCCAAACTATAAAAAGTCAGATTAGTCATTTAACGATGTATGTGCTCTGGGTTAAATGCTCAGTTGCTGCAAAATGGCAATATTTCCCTGCAGCCAGGAGAACTATGTTTTGCTTCAGTTTCTATGAGGAATATCCATAAAGACTGTATCGTTAGAAAGGTATCGAAAAGCATTACAAATAAGCCTTGAGACCCTTCCTCATGTGATCAGCCCTGACTATCAGCAACAGTACCTCCACAGACCGGGTGTTTTCACATAAATAGGGAAGCAACAGGGTGCAACTTAAGTTAACCAAATCTCTTTTTTCCCGTGCCAAACAGAATTCAAGAAATAACACATCAGCTACTGTGCAAATGTTGAAATCAACAGCGACGACCAAGTAAACAGCAATTTTACTTTTTTCCTCACCCATTTAAAAAGAGCTGTATGTACCACAAGCCGAATTTTACACTCACAAATTTCACTGGCTGCAGTGGAACTTGCACTGTACATAAAAGATCAGAATTGCTCCTCCTTGTTTCTGTGTGGCTAAATTTTTCTCTTTTATTGTGCCAAATTATCAGATATATCAACTGGGTTGAACTAGTAAAACCACATATGCAGACTACTGCTTTTCGAAAGTAAACCCAACAGTTTCCTTCAGCAGTATAAGACCTCCAAGAAATGTGTGTTCACACATATGTATTACAGTCTGCTAGTGCAAATTTAGAATAGGCTTTTAGAAAATCACAAATGTTTTAGTCCTATGTTCACCTCTTCCATTTGCTTTAAATGAAACATAGCTCGAAAGATATTTCAAACTGAGATTTCAGAGCCTTGGTCATTCAGTTCCCATCCATTTCAATATATTTAGTTAGATAATATGTCAGTCACCTTGTACATTATTTTCACAATGTTAGCTACATTGAAATACGTTCCCTTAGGTAGCTTCAAAGCCCTAGAAGGAAGCAGAACCCTAAAAGCATTATCATAAAAGAGTCCTTCAAACGCAAGAGGTACATTCCAGTCTTCTGCTGGGACTGAATCACAGCTCTATCCATTTTTTAAAAATTTTATTTTATCCATTAAGGTTGTTTAAAAAAAATAGTTGCTGGAACTGGCTGATGTTGTACATTTGTGACTTTGATATAAGTGAAAAGATCTTTATCAGTTTTATGTCTAATTTTATACTGCAAGATCAAATAACTCCTAAGTTTGAAGCTGTTAACAAAAAAAAATATTAAAACAACTAAATTTCAGATACGTTTCATGTTTTCTTTTCCCCCCTCAGGACTTTTGCCAGATTGAGATGACACAACATACTTCCAGAAAGTACTTATACAAATGCAAGATAAACTGTCTCTGAAAGCATAAATTATTTCTCCTCATGAAAAAAGAAAAATCAAAAGAAATGTTAAACAGACACAGTCAAAATGTGGAAAAGTCAGTCCCTCTGCTTCTCTTCCCAGGTGTAAACCTTTTGTCAAACGTTTCAAGCTGTGATCCTCGATGTAGCATTTTGCTGTGAAATTCCCAGGAGAGGAGTTGGTATACGTATTTTAGTACCAATAATGCAAGCACGTCCTATCCTGGGAAGAGGTCCTCCCCTACAGATGCAGAATATGGGATAGCATAATGGGAAAACTTCATGATCATCCTTCCAGTTACTGAGAGCCTTCCCAGCTTCTACAAGGCTACCCCCTTCCTTGAGCCCATCCTCTGCAAGAGCTCACCAGAGGTCCATGGTGAACATTTCCTGCTCTTGGAGTGTATAGAAACCTTTCTGGCAAGAGGGACATGAAACAACAGGATTCTCTTGGGGAAACAAAAGGCAAAGGGAAGCGGACAGGAGCACAGGATTTATTTTATCCATTCTAACAATACCCAGCACTCTACTAGACACCTTCTAGGGAAGGTTCAAGTAGTCTTGGACTAAACAATAATGGAATCATCTGCCTACAGCTGCAAGCAGAAGTCATTCTTAATGATTTGGAATGCTACATTTGGTAAAACAGTAGAGACTCAGGGGATTTATAAATCTGAAAGGGCAAGAAAACCAAGTGCAACATTTCCACAAAGAGATTACATCTGTTAGTGCATACAGATCTTCGCGCTGCAATTCATATCCCAAGCTGGGCATTACTCAGTTTTGATACAACAAAATCCTATGGAATCAAAATACAGTTTGTCTTTGTGACTCATCTCTTTGCCCTTCCTATCTAACATTTTCTGAAATAATATCCAAAATCTTTCTTCTTAAATACCTTTATAGTTTCAGTAGGCACTCCAGGCTCTGGAACTTTACCCAAGTAAGTAGTCAAGTCTTGATCCACGTGTTCAAACACTAATGTTAACTTGGTCTCTCTGTCTGTTCGTGACACGGTGCACACATCAAACAATCTGAGAGGAGGAAAAGAAAAGAGGAGGTAAGTATACAGGAACCAGTACAGACATACATACCTTGCAGCTCATACATGTTATTTATATTTCTTACAGTTTACAGAATGGAAAAAAGAGCTTTCCAAAGGTAGAGTAATCTTTGAGCTCTTCATTCACCAGATAACTACCGATACATCAATAATATCATATCTCTCTCTCATGTGTGGATTCTGAAATAGGATTAAGTATAAAGAATTCATCAGCTGTTCAAAGCAAAATAATTACATGAAAAGAAAATATTTTTTTGACAGAGCAACTAAACTTAATACAGAAAATGACTTGATATTTATCCACATCCTATGCTGCAGCACTTACAGTAATTTTAAAAAAAAAAAGCGAGAAACATTTTTTGAGAAAAAATATACAGGGTGTTTGCATCCACCTTCAGTTTTTCCCACATAACTCCCATGTTCACCATTACACGGCTTTATAATTAAATCTCACTCGGCAGAAACAGAATTTTTTTGCTGATTACTCTTGCAAGTTCCTAGACACAAGGAATACCTTCAGAGTCAGGATACAGTCTGGAAAAAAGCTTTCTGCACAAGATGCCACTACTAAGAAAGCTTTCTTCTCTCACCACTTTCTGTCATCCTTTTACTGAAATTTCTTTATCATTTCACCTTGTTGCACAACATCAATTCAAATTAATTTGCAAAGCTCTTCATAATGTTACATTCCTATCTGATTACTCTATTTTCTATTGTTTTCTCTTTTTAATTAGGATTTTTCTCATCTTCAACACTTCATCTACTGTACCAGCTTTAATCACTGTTTTATTTTTTTCACAAATGTCTGCCCATCCTTCTACGCTTCACAGCTATACTCATACCAGTGCCTTTCACTATCCCCAAGTCCCACTTCTACAAAATCACAATAGGAAACCAACTCACAGATGGAAGGATGCTTGTTCCCCGCTCACATACTTTACTAATGCATTTATTCATTTAGTTTTAAATTGTACAGATTGGATTGCCTTTCTCTCTGAAGCAAGGCAGAATCAATCGCTACTTTTATTAGGTGACAGTAGACTTAAAAAAAGAATGAATACAGTTATTGAGAAAGAAGTCTATATAGTTAAACTGAAGAACCTATCATTGATAACAAACCAAAGAGTACTTTGGTTGATACTACTGCTTATTTTGGTCAACATCATAGCAGTTACGTTGTTTTATTACACGCATCTTTCATCCTCTTACTTAGAATAACTTCTTCCTTACTTTGTGCAAAGTGCAGGATTTCTGATAACATTATCAAGTAACATTTTTGTTGTTTGTCCTAGGACTAAACGCTTTATATGCAGGATCATATATATCATATCTGTAGACAACAGATCACGCACAAAGCCTTGGGGGTCACTGCTTTTCAAAGAGGACATCTGACAAACAGACTAGGAAAACGCTTTGTACTGTGTTTTTACTTCTTGCCTTAAATCTCAAAATAGTTCACAAGAGAAGGAAAGACAAGAATTGGCACAATGACCTGTGAAGACTGTAATCCAGGTTTAAGAGAGCAGTATGTTTCACTTGAGGTGATAGAGATTTAACGTGTTAAGGCTGTGGTCCCACTTTAACAGCATTTCCTAAATAATCTTTGGCCAGACACTTAAAAATTGTTTACTAGCCACCATGTTTTGAAAATGGATGCATTCACATTCCTTTTAGCTTAAAGAAGCTTTTCAGTGAGCAATAATTTGGGAACCGGAGTTACAGAATATAGAGAGACTATCACCCTACCACTACTAGAAGACTAATCTGTACTTAATCTGTAATCACCATATGAACAAATATTAATTAAATTATTACGGTAACATAGTGACTGTAACAGCAAATGTCTCAGCACATTTCTCATAAAGACAAATACTGTTCTCTTTATGATTCCCTTAATGGGGCGTACATGGAAGATAGATGTCTTGTACACAGTAAATCAGTTTTGTGAAAAGTCACAAACCTTCCTGAAAAGAGAAATTTGCTGGTATTTGGCTGGAGGTTAATAATCTGCAATATATTTATATAAATCAATGTGGAATGTAGCCGGACTGCCTATAACCCCAACACATGCAAATAGAGAGGAGCCAGACAGGTCTGAACATCTGAACATAAACACTGGAAAATATTTCCAACTGTATGATTCCTTTGTGTTGACCTACATTTACCTAAAAATGTTCTAAAACACCTTTTTTTGCCAGATATTTAATACACTGGCAAAATAATCTTTTCAACTATAGAAGAATAATAATTCAAGAAAAAAAGGAAAAAAGATTTCACTGTCTAGAATATAGAAGCAACATGTAATTTCCAACTCACTGGGGAGGGAAATGCTGATTCTCTGTTTAATTCTTCTGTATGTGGCTTATTTTGATTCTGGCATTTTCTGGCACAGCAAAATAAGGAACTCAGAGGACTGCGATTCTAGACACCTATTACTGAGTAATAATATTATCACTGAGTAATAATATTATCTTTCCTCTTTATACACCCTTTATGTGAAACTCTAAGTGCTTTACTGTTAATAATAAAAAACTCCAGATCCTGCACCGGGCTGGGTGGAAGCACATTGTGTTTACTCACAGAAAATACAACTGCTGCCTTGGAAATATAATAATTTAAAGCACAGCTTATATGAATCTGTGATACTACAAAAAGACAACATCTGGCATTGCCCGTGCTAATCATTCTGGAAATAGATTGAGAAAGACACAGCCTCTTTATTTAGTAGTTTCCATAGGGATAAAACTACTTTTTATAAATTATATTCTTTTACATCCACTGTGAGAAAATCATAAAGTCGACTTCTTTAGCTAGGAACATCTCTGCTGTACACAGTGCACATTTCTCAAGCCATTTCCTCATGATTTTCTGTACGTGACGGGTTAGTTTTGCATGTGATTGCCTCTCTCAAACAGGCAACAGCAAAAGGCCTTTTATTTAAAGAGTTACCATGTGGACACTGTCCTAAGTGAAGTAAATGTACCTCAATTAATACAGGATTTCCATACTGAATACTTTGTAAACACAAGCCCTGCCCTTCTATTGTACTTACAAAAGAAACGTTTGAATTATTTGATTAAAGTAAGATCCGCTATGGGAAATCCTGTAAGTATTTAACAAGATGTTTGGCTGGGAGTCATACACTGCCTGATGTGTCGATCTGAACTGGAACACTGTTGAACAGACACTTATGGAGTACCTGTGTTTCAGTGCAGGCATTTTTTCAAGTTAATTGTACTAAAGTAAAAAAAGGTTATCAGCTACAAATCTATGTCTCTCTTTTATTTTATGTTTCTAGTGCCTAGTGGATCTTACCTAGCAGAATACCTGCCTTCCGACAAAAATAATTTGGTTTTTTTGAACACAGAAAACTAGATGACGCATCTTGAAGTCTCCATAGCTTCTTACAACATGTAATCTGACAAATGCAACCTCAGTTCATCTTCATTGTACAATATACAGTCTGAATGCTTAATGCTTTTATAAGAAAAGACACAGTTATGCCAATTCCTTTGAAAACTATTGCATCTACTGACTGGTACTAATTTGGTAACTGCTTCTAGAAAGTCCTTAAATGTTACTGGACTTGATTTTGAGATACTCTGAGAACTGCTATAAAGTTACCCACTTTCAAGTGGAATAAACATTTTTTTTCCTGAGCAAACTGAGATAACAGCAATGGAGATCAAACCTATCAGCCCAAGCCACCTGCAAGAAATACCAAAAACCAGATCTGAAAAACTGTAGGGCATCAGTTCTCTTGGCTATTGTCAAGCAGATGAGTAAGTGCATCTGGAAAATTAGGCACATCGTAGTCAAAGGGAAGACCACAGAATTATATACTTGCTGCCAATGCATCCAAAGGCTTATTGTTATTTTTGCTGCAGTAGGACTAATCCAACATGAACACATATCCCTTTACTTTGCTGGTCACTCACAGCACTGAACAAAAACACAGTCCTTGCCCTCTAAAGTTTTTCAATAACATGCATTTACTTTTCATTTTCTTGGGAACAGTGTCTTCCTAGCTTATGCATGACAGAGAAAGAGAACTGGAGCCATTGGTTTATGAGTCGGAGAAATGTTTAAGACAACTGTGGTGTGGTAAGTAGAGGCAGAGTAATACGCTACAGTTTTAAGGTTTCATGAGCCTGGACAAAGACTCAGATGGAAAGAGTTTGGTGGTCTCAACCTATCTCCGAAAGGTATTCATCCATGTGACAGAAAACCAGCACAGAATTTATGTGTGATTGACAGTGCTTATACAAACACCACAAGATTGGGATACCAAGACTATTACAGGTCATGACTGAGATTTATTGCCAAATATATTGGGGGGAGCCTGAATAGCTTCTGCTTTCACTGCCTTTGGCTCAGGTTAGTCCTGTGAGTCCATAATTTTCAAGGGCACAGAAAATTTCAGCCTCTCATACCTAAAAGCATTGCAGAATGACAGGCATCCTTTGAGTCCAAATTTCAGCAGCAGCCTTAGACTCTTCTGTTCTCTGGAAGCCACTCAGCAGCAAGCCCAACAAGCTCACCCCAGCTCCTTAAATTACGTACTCCTTGAAAAAAACAGTTTTCCCCATACTTTTAATACTATCTACCTTCTCCTTTCTTGCTTTTGAAGAGGAAAAAGACTGCTAACAGAAACCAGTTTCTACTTGGAATCGCATATACCCGATGTATTGTAACAAAGGGGTCGTATTTCAGATGAAGAAGACAATAGCTGGGCAAGTGGAGTGGAACATGTGCGTTACAAGAACCATGTCCCACGTAGCAAAACAGGAAATAGAGCTTCACACTCTGAAACGTATGACAGAGCTCTTTCC